AGAGGAAGGAAGTTCTGACAGACGCTGCAACATGGGTGAACCTGGAAGCCACGCAGAGAAGGCTGACAGTGTCTGCTGCCTCTTACGTGAAGTCGTGAAGTCGGCAGAATGAGCAAACAGTTGAAGACAGAAGGTCGGTCAGAGGTCACCAGGGGCTGGGGGGAGGGGAGGGGTTGACCACCTGAGGGGCCCTGAGTGGAGATGGACAGTGATGATGGCTGCACTGTGCAGAGAGTGTGATGGACAGCGCCGAGTTATACAAGTCAAAACGGTTCAAACAGAGAAGGGGCAGCTAGGAGGCTTAGGGGGCAGGGCGTTTATACATTCCTGGGGGAGGAACGACTTGGAAAGGGGCAGTGGCACAGCTCAAAGGCTGCCATCGACGTCAGCGACATGAACATGCAGAAAGTGCTGAACGGCCGTGTGCTGTGCTGTGTATATTCTCAGTTGTTGTTGTTATGTGCTGTTGAGTCAGGCCCGACTCATAGCGACCCCTCCTTGGGTTTCTGAGGCAGTATCACTACGGAAGTAGATTGCCCCATCTTTCTTCCAAGGAGTGGCTGGTGGGTTTGAACCACCAGCCTTCTGGTTAGCAGTCAAGTGCCTTAGGCACTATGCTACCAGAGCTCCTATATTCTCAGTAATTACCAAAAAGAAAATAAAATTTCAAAAAAGAAGGTGAAAATAGCAAATTTTATGTTATATAAATTTAGCAGGAGCTCTGGTGGCATAACACCTAAGGCACTTGACTGCTAACCAGAAGGCTAGCAGTTCAAACCCACCAGCCACTCCTTGGAAGGAAAGTTGGGCAATCTACTTCCATAGAGATACCGCTCGGAAACCCAAGGATGGGTCGCTATGAGTCAAAATCAACGGGCGGCAGTGCTTTTTGTTTTTTAAATAGATTTTAGCACAACTGAAAAACCAACCAACCCGTGTCTACCATGCCGACCACCCAGGAAGGGACCACAGTTGGAGATCCTGGTTAGAGTGGGAGGAAAAACATGGACAAAAGTTCAAAAACACAAAAATGACCAGAATTACTGGTTGGATGGACACACTGGTGGGACCCTTGAGACTGTGGCCCCGGGTTACCCTTCAGCCCTGGAACCGGACTCACTCCTGTGGATTGGCTCTCAGCCCCACAGTACAAACACCTACATGCAGAACACCGACCCCAGGGAGAGGCACCCACCTACCCCAGGGAGATGCACCCCTAGATCAATCAGCCGTGAGACACCAGCGGGGCAGCACTCACGTGGAGGGTAAGCTGGACAGACAGGAGTACACAGATAAGAAGGGCACAGGGAGGGGCGGCCACAGGGAGGGGAAGGGAGGAGAGCTTTCTTATGGTGGGGGACGGTAACCAGGGCTGTGAAAGCAAATGTACATGAACTGGTGAATGCAAAACAAATCTGCTTTGTCAATTTTCACAATAAAAGGAAATTAAAATAATAAATAGCCAACCAATCCAAAAACAAAGGGGGCAAAGGGGTCTTGGGGGTCAGAGTTTACTTGTGTGAATCATTTACCATTTTACTAATGTCTCTCGTGGGGAAATTTGAGGACTTCACTTTGGGACTCCCTCTCCCTGCCAAAAAAAATCAAAGAAGCAAAACAGTCATCCTTGGCAGACCAGTCCCTCTGTCGCTGGCACAAGAGGTGCTGCTGTTGTTATGTGCCGACCCGACTCATAGCGACCCCTCCTTGGGTTTCCGAGGCGGTATCACTACGGAAGTAGATTGCCCCATCTTCCTTCTGAGGAGTGGCTGGTGGGTTTGAACCGCCAGCCTTCTGCTTACCAGTCAAGTGCCTTAGGCACTATGCTACCAGAGCTCCTGGCATGAGAGGTGGGGAAGGGGAAATAGGTAGAGACTCAATTTCAGACAGACAAGCAAGGAATTCGTTCAGACGCTACCTGGCTGTGTCTAGCCCAGAAGGTTCCATGGTGGGCTGATCTGATTTGTTAGAAAGCTTTAAATTGTGTACAGAGCCCACCCCGACCACTCTGGGAGCCGATGGATAGATGCAGGTGCCTGTCACGTGGGACACTGTTGTAGGGGCACCACTCCACCCAGTGCTGGAAACCCACATCTGTGTCTCAGCCCAGACAGCCTGATCCCCACGTTCAGGCTCACTGGGGTTTCTGAGGAGGGAAAGTCCCAGTAGAGGATAAGGCACACCCCCAACGTGCAGATCATTCTGGAAGAAACGGGAGTTTTCTTTAGCCAGTCCCCCAACACGGTCAAAGTCACCATGCTTCACCTCTTAAAAGGAACAGCTCCATTTCCTCTCCGACTCCCTTTCTGCCCCCCACCAGCCATCTGTCTCTGTGTCCTACTGTCAGGCTTCTGTGTTGCCGGGATGCTAGAAGCCGTACCATTGCGATTTCCAATACCAGCAGGTTCACCCATGGTGGGGTTTCAGTGGGGTTTGCAGACTAAGAGAGTAGGAAGAAAGGCCTGATGATGATCTACTTGTGAGAGTTAGCCAACGAGAACCCCGTGGGCCACAACAGAAGACTGTCGGACGCCCTGCCTGGTTGATAATAGTTTTCCTGCGCGCTCCTGCTTAATACAAATGAGAGAATTCAAACCACTTTAGTTCTTGATATGAAAGCAATAACACATGTTCATCAGAGAGAAGCTGAAAACACAGGTTAAGAACCAAACAACTCACAGGGCTGTCTGCGGACAGGCACCAACTCTCTTCTCACCTGATAAAGGGGCGGGAGATGGCCAGCACCGTCCGGATGAACCAGGAGGGATGCACGATGATCAAGGACTTCAGGTTTTTCCTCAACCTGTGGGGGTGGAGCCAATAGGGCAAGATGGGCTCCTAGGTGTGAGTCTGGGGGGCCGGAGGCTGGTGCGGGGCAGGGAAGGGGTGGGAAGAGACATGCACGCACTCATCTCTCATTCCTTCACCCCACGGCTGTCCTTCATGGACCTGTACCAGGTACCTGTGCCCTCTACCTGACCAGGCATCTGGACTTTCATGGACCTGTCAAATCTCTGACCCCATCCAGGTGTTGAGGGGCCTAGGAGGGGATAAACACACACCTCTTGACTCCCTGAGACCCCAAGGTGGGCAGAGAAAGGAGGGACCCCCCCAGCGCACAGCAAGAGGACCAGATGGGCAGTCTGAGACTGAACTCTCACACTTGTAATGGGTTAAGTTATGTTCCCCCAAAATGCATACTGGAATCCTAACCCCTAAATCTGTGGATGTGAGCCTGTTAGGAAAGTGTCTTTGTTATGTTAATGAGGCCATACCCAGGCAGCATGGGTTCTAAGTCTAATCACATCCGAGTTACAAAAGGGGCAGGTTAGACACACAGGTACAGACACATGCGCACAGACACACATGTACACAGACACATGTGCGTGCACACACACACGCACACACACAGAGACACACGTACACAGACATGTGCACAGACACGCACACACAGATACACGTGGGGAGACAGACGTCAACACGAGGATGGTCTATAAACCAAGGAACCAAAGCCCAGTGCTGGTCACAGAGGGAGCGCTGACTTCTAACCCTAAGGAAAAAGCCAGCCAGTGGCTGTTCAGTCCACTATGATTCCTGGCGCCCCCTGTGGGCAGGGAACTGTGCCCCACGGGGTTTTCAAGGCTGTGGACTTTCAGAAGCAGACTGCCAGGGCTTTCTTCCGAGGCACTCTGGGTGGGTCGGAACGGCCAACCTTTGGGTCAGCAGTCGCGGGCTTATCGCTCGCCCCACCCAGGCACTCCTATTTCTAACCCCGCTCTTGTTTAACTCCGAGCCCCAGCTCTTGACCCAGGGCCAGCCTGGCTCCCGTTTCTGGAGGGTTTTCGGGGGCCCCCTTGATTCTGAGCACCTTTCAGAGGACCACAGCCTCAGGGGCCCCTGCTCTGTGTCATTTTCCACCGCAAGGCGGCTCCCGCCCCCGCGGCCCCGCCCACCTCCTGTCGATCATCTGGTAACACTTCTTCAGCCAGCCAATGCCCGGCATCCTCCGCCGGGGCGTGGCGCCGTTCAGGTAGACGATCATGTAGTCCTCCGCCACCAGGAGCTCCAGGCTGCTGATGACGTATCTGGCACGAGAGGCAGATGACAGAGAGCCATCAAAATGGGGCTGAGTCAGGAAGACCTAGTTCTGGGACCCAGCGTGGCAGTGCCACCTTCTTTCTCTACGCCTGCCGCAGGTGTGCCAGCCATACCTGTTCAAGTGTTGTCTGTTCCTGCACCCTCCAGTGGGAGTGGGTGTGGGGACCCTAACGTGTCCCAGATTTCCACCAGTGGGCATAGTAATAGCAGGGATGCTGGCGTTGTGGGGTGCCACTGGATCAGTTCTGACTGAGTGACACTGTGTGACACACCAGGTGCCCCATCGGGTTTCCTCTGCTGTCATCTTAATGAAGGCAGATTCCCAGGCCTTCTCCTGCAGAGTCACTGGGTGGGTTTGAACCTCCAAGCTGTATGGTTGGCAACTGAATATTTAACCATTGTGCAACCAAGCCTCAATCAAACTCACTGCCATCAAGTCGATCCCAACTCATAGCAACTGGTTTTCCGAGGCTGTAAACCTGTATGGAAGTAGATAGCCCCATCTTCCTTCCGTGGAGTGGTTGGGGGGTTTGAACCACCAACCTTCTGGTTAGCAGTCAAATGCCTTAGGTACTACACCACCAGAGCGTCTTTAACAGGAGTAATAGTAGCTCATTCTACCGAGTGCTTGCTGTGGGCCAAGCACTTTGTATGAGGCATCTCACTCAATCTCTGCCAGCCCTGAGATGGGGGGACACGGTAAATGCTTTGTAAATGACTGTGACAATAACGTTGATTAAGGCTGATGGGGAATCAGGCTCAGAAAGAAGGATGCATGGTGAGCGAGCCGGCAGGGATCAGGACTGAAGGGTCCCTCGGTGGTGCAAACGGTTGAGCACTCGACTACCGGCCAGAAGGTGGCTGGCTTGAAGCTACTCCCTAGAGGCTGGTCGGAAGAAAGGCCTGGTGGTCGGCCTGTGACAGGTCCCAGCCTTAGATACCGCATGGGGCAGTTCTGCTCTGCACACGCGGGTTGTCTGGGAGTCGGAATCCACTGGACGGCCACTAACTTCTATTCCTCACAGTCAGGTTCTGCTGGTGGCCCGAAGCGCCCCCCAGACCCCCGTCACGTGGCCCAGGCCACCCCCAGCCCTGTAGGGACTCACAGGAAGAGGTTCTCCATGACGTAGTGGTAGTCGGGGGAGCTGCTGTCTGGGAGGAAGCAGGCGGCAAAGACGATGATGGCATTGAGGCCTTCACCGTAGTACCCTGGGGGAAGGTGGCGGGGTCCGGTGTGTTAACCAGCCCCCAGCAGTGATGGGCGGAGCCCTGCACAGCTCCCAGCTGCCCTGTGCACCCTCCCCACCCGCCTCCTCACCAGCCAGCCCCTTCCCGTGCCCTCATGCTCAGTGTGCATGGCTCAGGGGTGCACAGTCTGGCGGTGCTGTTGTCACCTTCCGTGGGGAATGAGGGCCGCTGTCAGGGACACCCCTGTGATCCAGGCTTATCCACGTCCCAACTCCCTCTGCACCTCTGAGATTGAGGGTCTGAGCGGCTCAGTGGCCCAGGGAGCCGGGGTGCTGCTCTCACCTCCGTGGGTCACCACCTTCATGTAGGGCCGGATCATGTGCAGGTCGATGCGATGTTCTTGCTCCCCGATGATCACCGTCCGCCACAGGCGCCCGTTGGCAGCACTGCCGTCCTCTGTTGTGCCGTCCCCAAACAGATCTGCGCTGTCTCCAGGCATGTTCTTGGCAGTGGCCACAGGAGTATCATCTGAAAGCAGGCCAGGGGTGAGTGGAGGGATGTCTGAGTCTGCATCCCTTGCATTGCGTCTGGGGGACCCCCAGATCTCATCCCAGAACCCCCCACTCAACATCCCTCTCTCTGCACCCTTGGCTGCAGGTGGCCACACATCCCAGCCCTCTCTCCCCTAAGCCTTTGTCCACGTGTTCTCTCTCCACTGGGCTTCCCTGCTGGCCCATCTTCCTTTTCTAGTCCTGGCTCAGATGTCACCTCCTCCAGGAAGCCCTCCTGGACACCCCTCTGCTTCATCAAGCCATGTGCGGGCTCACAGGTGTGGGGTGAGCCTTGCATATGTCTTACTTTCCTTGGAGCCAGGCCTAGCTAGGGACAGGATCAAGTCTAGCCCTGCCCCCAGGTGAGGGCCAGGATCCCCCTGCTTCCACCTGCCATCCTTAACATCACACACTCTGTAGCCATGGTGCCAGCTGTGGAACCTTGCCTCTGGCCGGTCCCTCCTGCCAGCTGCCAGAGTGTTCTTTCCAAAGTCTGCACGTCCCATCTTTCCTGACTCCCTTCAAGAGGGGCTCCCTTCTATCTCCTCTAGCCCCAGGTTCTTCCCCTGGGCACTGCTGAGTGCGAAGCCAACAGTTCTCTGCATTGGGGCTGCCCTGCGCACTGCAGGGGTTCAGCTGCATCTGTGGCCTCCACCCACTCCATGCCAGTAGCATCTCCTCCAATCATGACCACCACAGATATATCACCCAGTGTCCCCTGGGGGCAGAGTCACCCAGAGTGAGAACCTCTGGGTTAGGGGATTCCACTGGCCCCCAACAGGATCCATAATCCTCTGACCTCCTGACGTCCCAGGACGCTGTTGTTGTTAGGTGCCATCGAGTCATGTCCAACTCATAGCGACCCCATGCACAGCAAAATGAAACACCACCCGGTCCTGTGCCAGCTCCATGATCCCTGCTATACTTGAGCCCATCGCCATGGCCACTGTGTCAATCCATCTCATGGAGGGCCTCCCCCTCTTTTGTCGACCCTCCACCTCACCAAGCATGACATCCTTCTCCAGGGAATGGTCCCTTCTGACAACATGACCAAAGTAGGTGAGACAAAGTCTGGCCATTCTTGCTT